TATGCATGCATAGACACTAGACACGCTAGTCTGTGCCAGTGGGCTCCCCTGTACCTATGCACTCACAAACAGCCATGTATGTGGCATACACATGTACAGGCATGTACACACAGACACAAACACTCAGGCTAACACCCATGGCCATAGGGGTTTGCACATGGAATCTTACACATGAGCACATCCTCATGCACATGTACAATTGCTTTTCACAAATACTCTTGTCAGGGTACAGGTCCCCACATACCTGCTGCACCCTAGCATCTCCATAAGTGTGCACACTTGAACTTGTGTTGCACACATGTGCTTATCACACCAACATTCAAAACAGCAAAGCATGAATACACACACATGTAGCATGTATGCATGCATGCAAAAAAGCATTGTAAATGTGCACACACAGGCATAAGCACACCATGCATGCATGCACATAACTTCATATATGCTGGTATGTGTGCACACCTGTGTGCAGGCATGCACGCCCAGTTATCCTTTGAGGATTTTATCCGCCAACCCTGCCTGGCTGGTAATGGCTCCCAGCCCCTGCATCTGGCAGAACTTTCTTGTGAGTCATGGGCTGTGACCCATGATTCATTCCAGCTTTCCCCAGCCCCTGTGTCACCTAGAGAGACTTAGACACTTGCCCCTTCCCTTGGGCTGCCACTAGCCTGAAATTACACCATTACACTTATTCTTCTGAACCAAGGCATCAATGGCTCTGAACCTGCATATGTGTTCTGTGGGAGAACAACCTTACACGAACCAGGTGTGGGTAGAGCATTAGAGGAAGACTTGAGGCATTTCTGGAAAGCTTCCCAAGTAATTATTACTCATCTTGCAATGTGGCTGAGAATGTTCCATGGACACAGTTCCCAGAACCTGCAGGAGTGCTGTGGCTCTCATCCCTGGCTTTTTCTGGGCCACTCACCCCTCCCTTGGCTCCAGAGCCCTCTTCAATTAGACAAGCAGGATGTGCCAAATTCTCCTTCCTTCACTTGAGCACCTGGTCTCCTCATACGTGGTCAAGATGAGTCTCCTGAAATCAGCCCTGAACCTGAGAGGCAATGTATTAGTTGGTTGGGCTGCCATAACAAAATACCACAGACTGGGGGGCTTAAACAACAGACGTTTATTTCCTCACAGTTCTGGAGGCTGGAAGTCCAAGGTCAAGGTGCTGGTAGGGTTGGTTTCTCATGAAACCTCTCTTCCTGGCTTGTAGACGGCCACCTTCTTTCTGCGTCCTCACATGGCCTTTCCTCCACGTGTGCATGAGGGGAGAGAGAGGGAGCTCTGGTGTCTCTTCCTCCTTTTATGTTGACACCAGTCCTGTTGGATTAGGGCCTCACCCTTATGGCCTCATTTAACCTTAATTACCTCCTTAAAGGCCCTATCTCTAAATACAGTCACATTGGGGGCTAGGGCTTCAACATATGAATTTGTTGAATTCACAGTTCAGTCCATAGCAGACAACAAACGAAGCGCTACCTTGAGCAGCTGCAGAAGGCCACAGCTCCTCCTTCTCTTCAGGTGCATTCCTGAGACATGTCTGTGCAGAAAGCATGTGGAGAGGAGGAGTAACAACAGGCACAACCGCAACCTCTCTTGTAGACATAGAATTCTTTATTGCTTGAAAATCATTGCACATTTCTTTTATTTCAGCATATTATGGGGGTACAGATGTTTAGGTTACGTATGTTGCCCTTGCCCCACCCCTCCCCCGCTAAGTCCGAGTTTCAAATATGTCCATTCTTCGGGAGGTGCGCATTGCACTCTTTGTGTATGCATCATTGCACTTTTTTGGGAGACAGAGTCTTGCTCTGTTGCCTGGGCAAGAGTGCCGTGGTGTCAGCCTAGCTCACAGCAAACTCAAACTCCTGGGATCAAGCGATCCTCCTGCCTCAGCCTCCCGAGTAGCTGGGACTAATGGGACCCACCATGCCCAGCTATTTTGTTCTATTTTTAGTAGAAATGGGGGTCTCGCTCTTGCTCAGGCTGGTCTCGAACTCCTGAGCTCTAGTGATCCACCAGCCTCAGTCTCCCAGAATGCTGGGATTACACGTGTGAGCCACCATGCCCAAAGTATTGCACTTTTTAAAAAAGTTATGATTTAAATACAAAAAGAGTTACAAAAGAGAACATACAGTAATGTTCACCCTTTTAGTGTTCTCTGAGTTTTCACAAATAAAAACATTTGGGTAACCACGCCACAGTAGCCAGAGGGATCCTCTTACAACCCAAGTCAGCCCATGGCCCTCCTGCACTTGGAGCCCTGCTGTGGCCCCCATCTCTCTCTGACAAAAAGCCAAAGTCCTCTCCTGGCCCACAATGCCCTATAGGACTTCTCTGACATCACCTCCTACCAGTGGCCTGTTGGCTACTCTGCTCCTGCCCCACTGGTCTCCTCACTGTCCCTCAAATGTGCCAGACATGCTCTTGCCTCAGGGCCTTTGCGCAGGCTTTCCCCTTTGCCCGGGTCACTGTTCCTCTAGACACACCCCTCCTGAGGTCACACTGACTGGGAACAGTACACTCCTGGGTTCACACCAACTGGTGTATGGACCCTCCCAGGGTCGCACAGTCTCAGGTGCGGACCCTCCCGGGACCACACAGATGAGGGTGTAGACACTCATGATGTCACTAGATTTGGGAGTAAGAAATCCCGGGGTCATGCTGATTGTGAAGTAGATACTCCTGGGGTCGCACGTTACGGTGGAGACTCTAGGGGGTCACACAGACTGGGATGTGGTCGTGCGGTGGGTCACACAGATTCAGATGTGGACGTGGCTGAGGTCACGCAGACCCAGCTGTGGATATTCTTTGGGCCACACAGATTGGGGGACAAATGCTCTTTGAGTCACAAAGATTATGGAAGAGACATCCCTGGGTCCCAGAGACTCAGTGTAGACACTTTTAGACTCACACTCACTGGGTCAGGGACATTTCTGGAGTCCAGGAAACTGCTTTGTGGACACTGTTGGGGTCACACCCACTGGGGTATAGACACCTCTCAGGACATGTCAATAGGTGTGGGCACTCCTCTGGTCACACTGACTAGGGAATTGACTCCCCCGTGGTCACAGACACTGGGGTGTGGAGACCCTTTTGGTCACACAGATGGGGATGTGTCCTCCCCTGGGTCACTCAGACTGGAATCTGGACCCACCAGCGGTCACAGGCACTGGAGTTTCACACTCCTGTGGGCACACTGACAGGGGAGTAGATAGTCTCCTGGTCACAGATATACCCTCCTGAGGCCATCAAGATGGGTGTAGACACATCCATGGCCAGAGACTGGGGTTTGGACATCGCCAGGGTCACATACACTGGGAACTGGACATTACTTCTGTTGCAAAAACTTGGGTATGGACACTCCTGGGGTCACAGAGATTGGGGAGTGGATGTTCTTGAGGTTGCTGGACTGGGGCAGAACCACTCCCAGAACACCAAACTGAGCTGTGGACACCCGTGGGGTCACCCGGACTGGAGTTTGGACACCCCCGTGGTCACACAGTTTGAGGGTGTGCACGCTCATGGCACCACTAAGACTGGGCTGTGGAAACTCCTGTGGTCTCACAGACCAAGCCATTGCCACTGCTGGACTCACAGAGCCTGGGGTCATAGATTCTTCCATGAGTCAACACTGCTGGATCTGCACTGTAATGGGCGTGGATGCATCTGCAATCACACAGCCTTTTGTGCAGACACTCTGCCAAACATTCCTGGGGCCACGCACACTGGGGTATGGACATTCCTGTGGTCATACTGGCTTAGGTGAGAAGACCCCTGGGTTAAATCACTGTGGTGTGGACACTCTGAGACTCACATAGAGTGGGGTTTGGGCATTCCTGGAGTCACACAGATTGGGGTGTGGTTATTCTTGTGGTCAGAGATTGGAGTGTAGACACACCTATAAACACACTCCAGTGTTTAAACACCACTTTTTTTTTTTTTTTGGAGACAGAGTCTCACTTTGTTGCCCTGGCTAGAGTGAGTGCTGTGGCGTCAGCCTAGCTCACAGCAACCTCAAACTCCTAGGCTCAAGCGATCCTCCTGCCTCAGCCTCCCGAGTAGCTGGGACTACAGGCATGCACCACCATGCCCGGCTAATTTTTTCTATATATTTTTAGCTGTCCAACTAATTTCTTTCTATTTTTGGTAGAGACGGGGTCTCGCTCTTGCTCAGGCTGGTCTCGAACTCCTGAGCTCAAACAATCCGCCCGCCTCGGCCTCCCAGAGTGCTAGGATTACAGGCGTGAACCACCGCGCCCGGCCTAAACACCACTTCTGACTGGGGATTGGACACTGTTTGTCACAGACTTGAGTGTGTACACTCCTGGGGTCACACAGACTAGAGTGTGGCAACTCCTGAGGTCACTGGACTGGGGTATGGGTAGTCTTTGGGTCACAGAGAAAGTGAGATTCTAAAGACATGGAATTAAGCTGCAGAAAAGTTCTGTATAGATGGGGATTTTTTATCATCTCCTGTTTGCTAGTTGTAGAAATTCAGGACTGCAGTCAATGCAGACTTGCTGACATTTCTTTTTTCTTTTGAGACAGGGTCTTGCTCTACTGCCCAGGCTAGAGTACAGTGGCATCATCATAGCTCACTGTAGCCTCCAATGGGCTTAAGTGATCCTCCTGCCTCAGCCTCCGGAGTAGCTAGGACTGCAGGTGTACACCACCATGCCTGGCTAATTTTTAATATATATATATTTAGATAGATAGATAGATACACATATATTTAGAGATGGGGTCTTGCTATGCTGCCCAGGCTGGTCTTTAACTCCTGGCCTCAAGTGATCTTTCCACCTCAGCTTCCCAAGGTGTTGGGATTATAGGTGTGAGCCACTATGCCTCGCCCACTGACATTTCTTTAGGAGAGGGATTCTTAACCTAAACAATTTGTTCTGGGGAACACTTTGGCATCTGGTTAGACCTGTGGACCCCTTGTCAGAATATTTTAAAAGCACACGTGCACGCACACACACAAATACACAGGATTGCAATGGAGCCAATTACACTGAAATGCAGTTATCACCATATATTAAACTGAAACGAAACTGAGACGCAGTAATATATGGGCTATTTTATTAGTACACCAAATGATAAGATCTGCTATCATTCCAAGTGGTGATGAATGTGAACAATATTTCAAGATGCCTGCAACAACTGTAATGTCACATAAAAAGTAACAGACCTGTATTGGTGGGAAAATCGCAGGTACTGCTTTTACCATTGCCATCTGTTGCCAGCACTCGCACCTGGGAGTAAGGCTACATTCCCGGTACATTAGTGAAAATAAAGACGTAACATTTTCCTCCATCAAGTTCATGGATACCCCTGACTTCTATCCAGGTAAGAACCTCCGCTTTCAGAGGAAATTCTAGATGTAATCAGGACATCCCTGAGGAGGTTTAGAGAAGAGACCTCACTCAAGAATTCCCATTGCAGCACAGACAGACTTCTGCAGTGTTTCCTTCCTTGTCTTCGTGCTGGTTGTTGCAGATTCCTACTCAGGGCTTGTTCATTCAGGCCCCGTTGATGAGATATTTGAAAACAAGTTCATCAACCCACGTTCCGGTTTTCCTGATAGCAGGCATTTTCTGAGTTTTATTGGCATGCCAGCTAACCAAAAGATCAAAGGAAAAGGAAGTTTTAAACAAAAAACATGTGTTCCAGATTTCTTCTACTATAATCACTGTTCACTAAGCTGCTAACATTTTTGTGACTTTCCCCCCTTTTATCATGAACCATAACACATAGAAAAATGCATAAAACATATATGATGTTCAGCTTAATAACTACAAGGTGTTATCTTGTATAAGTATAGGATGTCCATTCTCATTGCTGTGTAGCTCTCCACTGCCAATATGCCATGATTTAACGGAGGTACTACAAATAGTGCTGCCAGGAACATTCTAGGACTCACCTCTTAGGAGTAGATCTGGCATACATGCAGCTTTAGTAGACAATGCCTGCTAGTTTTTGACAGTGGCCGCACCATTTTATGCTCCTAGCAGCAGGTACAATGGTTCCAATTGTTGCAGGTCCTTCCAAATACTTAGTGTTGTCAATCTTTTCAGTTTTAGCTTGCATTTCCCTGGTGAAAGCAGCTTTTCATGCGCTTATTGGCCATTCTCATGTTTTTTCTTATGATTTATAGGACCTTTTTTTTTTTTTGGAGACATTGAGTCTCACTCTGTTGCCCAGGCTAGAGTGCTGTGGCGTCAGCCTAGCTCACAGCAACCTCAAACTCCTGGGCTCAAGCGATCCTCCTGCCTCAGCCTCCCAAGTAGCTGGGAGTACAGGCACGTGCCACCATGTCTGGCTAATTTTCTCTATATATTTATAGTTGTTTGCCTAATTTCTTTCTATTTTTAGTAGAGAGAGGTCTCACTCTTGCTCAGGCTGGTCTCGAACTCCTGACATCAAGCGATCCTCCCGCCTCGGCCTCCCAGAGTGCTGGGATTATAGGTGTGAGCCACCACGTCCGGCCCTATAGGACCTTTTTTAATATTAAAGATATGACATATAGGGATTGTAAATATCTTTTCCCACTGTGATTTGCTGTTTCAATTTTTTTTAAGGTATCTTTTTAAATGGAAGACTTAAGTCTCAATAACTTACTTGGCCGTTGTCAGAAAGGGCCGTCCTCTAACATCGGTTTTAGCCCATTTGGCTACATTAAACTGGCCCCCTTGCTGTTTCTTCCCGCACCAGGTACGGTTCCACCTTTGGGACTCTGCTGTGTCCCCTATCTAAAATGCTCTCCCCCTGGATAAACACACGGATTCCCACCCTCAGCACCTTCAGGTCTTTGCTCAAACGTTACCTTAGTGAGGCCGTTCGTGACAACCCTTTTAAAAAGCGCAAACTGCCATGCCTAGAATTCCTGGTACTCTTCACCCTGCTTTATTTTTTCTGTTTCATCCCCTGTATCGCTGTGACGTATTTAATAGTGTGCATGTGTAGAGAAACTTCTGCACTCACGGACCTGTCATGAGTCTATGACTTTGTCTCTTTCCCCAAACTGGAAGCTCTGAGAGGGCCGAGACACTTGTCTGTTTGGTCCCTGCTCTAGCTCCAGACCTGAAACAGTGCCTGGCATACAAACCCTCAGACAAAAAGGCAACCTTACCTTAATGGGTTAAGGTGAACAATTCATTTCATTGTCTTCCATCTACCCAAGAAAAAAAAAAGGGGGGATTCAGATATTTTGCTGAACTTTTCCATTCATTATGCTTGGTTTTACCCATTGATTTTTATAGCTATTGGGAGGCAGGGAAGAGAATTTTGGCCCCAGAAACCATGTGATTTGGGAGGCAAACTGGGAAGGGGTCAAATGTGAGCTCAGAGCCATGTTTCCAGACCTCAGGGGCCAGCAGGGTGTGGGGCTGAGGGGTAGCCAGGGGCTGGGGCAAGGTGTCCACTCTGCGGATGGGGCAGTCCTGGGGGTGGATCTCCTTGGCCAGCCTCCCACTCTTCTTCAATGTGCAAGCCTCCTGGTATGGTGGAGAGATGGGGAGCTGTGTGGGCAGGGTATACTTGTACTCTGAGCCATCCTCTAGCTACAGGGACACAAGAGGTGAGAGGTGAGGAGATGGCAAGATCTGGGAACCCAGGACAGCCTCCCCGCACTGTCCACCTAACTGTTGGTCAGGCACTCACATCCACTGGGTAACTTCGGTCCGAATCATAGGAGCTCAGGTCCCCACAGGTCACAAAAGGCACAATGATGCGGGTGGGACCATCTAGCTGGTTGACATCTGAGTCTTAGAAAAAGGGCAAGACAAGACTGAGGACAAGGCTGAGACGCCTGCGGCCAGTCATGACGCAGGCTGCAAGGTGCCAGGTCCTCCCCACAGATCCACCAGCTAGTCTCTCATGCCTCCAACAGAAATCTGTCATTTGGTTCCGATCACCTCCTCAGGGAGGCCCTCCATAATCACCCCTTCTAAAACCCCCTGTTCTGACATTCTAATCCATGTTGCCTCCTTCGAATGTGTCTCCACAAGGGCAGGTTCTTCCCCTCTCCATCAATTCCTACTAGGGGCGAGGCTAAAAACCCTCTCGGGGCAGAGGTTCCACACAGGGTGAAGTTTCCACTGGGGGCATGACTGACAGTCTTCCCAGGGCAGAATTTCCTTAGGCAGGTGGAGCGTCCACTGGGGCAAGGCTTAGCATCCTCCTGGGACAAAACATCCACGAGGAGGTGGATTTCCACCAGAGGGTGGGGTGGAGGATCCTCTTGGGGAAGAATTCCCACCAGGGGCTGAGGCTACCGGCCCTCTCAGGACATAAATTGTATAAGGGGGGCAGAGTTTCCCCAAGGACGGGCCCACGCTCTTGTTCTCACCGTATGAGTGGCCCAGCAGGGGTTTGGTCAGGTCTGCCGTGAAGCCCTCAGGAGGGTCATACCCCCGACAGACAGCAAAGGCCTCTGTGGGAGGAATCTGGAGTGAGCGGTGACTACCACTTCCACCCTCTGCAGGCTGTGTCCCTGAGATCCCCCTCTGCCTGCCTGGCCTCTCCACCCCACTGACCGATGCTGGAGTTCCGGCTGCTCCTGGGCTTGGCGCAGAGCACGCTGGGGAAGAAGACACGCAGCTGGCTGTAGAGGAGCGTCACATCCCGGCCTCGGAATATCTGCAGAGTAGGGAGGTAAAGATCAAGGGGTGAGGGCGGCCCTCAGGGACTTCTCTCTACACGCCACCAGGTCCCCCAAGGCTTACCTTGGCCACAAAGCAGCCCCCTGGCTTCAAGACATGTGTAGCAATGTTCAGAGCCTGTGGGCAGGACGGATGGCTAAGGCTGCGATGGGGACAGCCAGGAGGTGGGCAGGGTAGGTCAGGGGAGGCCAGGGTCACTCACGGCTAGGAGGAGCTGGGCCTGCATATACTCATCGACATCATGGAGGCCAGTTACTGCGTCGAGAGGAACAGCGTTATGGGGTCCCATCTGATTCTATGCATCTTCTTGTACCAGAAGACATGAGAAGCTTACAAACATTTCCCAGGCTCTGTTACTGCTAAGTTTCTGGATGCAAATCATTCTCTGCCATCTGGATGCACATTCTGAGCTCCTAATCCTTAGGAACTTATTTTAATTCTCAAACCACCACAAGCACAAGCATCATTAACATTCCCGCCTCCAGCCCAGACTGCTCCTCTGAACTCCAGGTTCACAGATCACACTCCGTATCTTCAACACATCCAGACCAAACTCCTGACCCTCCTTCCTTCCTGCTCCTCCCACGAGTTTCCCCATCTCATCTGATGCTTCTAGTTGTTCAGGCCCAAAACCTTAGTTACCTTTGACGATGACACCCCATGTCCTCTCCTCATACCCACCTTCAAGCCACTAGGCAAATCTACTTTCGAAAGATGTCCTGACCTGACCCTCTTCTGCTCTCCGCTACTGCCTCCACTGTCATCACTCGTCTGGACCACTGCGGCGGCCTCCTCGTTCCCCGGGGCCCCTGCTTCCGCCCTCGTCCCGCACACGGCTCACAGCAACTCGAGGGGTTCTGTCACAGCCCCAGCTGGGCACAGTCCCCCTGTGTTCACATGGCTTTCTCTGAACTCTCATCTCAGTGAAAAAGCTAACATCCTCACCACGGCCCATGAGGCCCTATAGGACCTGTCCCCTGTCACCTCTCCGACCTCATCTCCTACCACTTTCTCCCTTGCTCTGCTCCAACCACTGATCTCCTCACTGTTCCTCACACATACCCAGCACCCTCCTTCACATGGGCCGGAACTTCGCCTGGATCACTCTTCCTCCACACACACCCATGACTTACGCCCTCGCCTCCTGCAGGTCTCTGCTGTCCAGTCAGTAAGGCCTTCCTCGTCCGCTGTATGTAAAATCCCAACAGGTACCCCCTCTGGCCCTGCTCACTGATTTCCCTCCGGTACCTAGCGCCTTTTAACATGCCACTGGCTCAATCGTCTATTTTCTTTTCCATTTGCCCCCACCAGAACATCAGCTTCGTGAGGTCAGACATTGGCGGAATTTTATTCCCAGATGTTTTCCCAACACAACAGGTGCTCAGTAAATGTGTGTTGAATGGCTGGCTGGAACGATGAATAAACACTACCATGGAAATGGACATTTGCAGAGGGATGAGAGGAGGGAAGGGCGAACAACAGACATAAAACTCAAAGGGTGGGATATGGGGGGAGGAAGACAGAGGTGGGGAGAAGCTGCCAGATGTGGAGAAGGCTGGGAGTAGAGGGAAGAGGAAAGAGCAACTGAAGAGGCAGAAGAAGTCAACCGAGGTGGGAGATACAGAGAAGGACACACACAGGGGTCCGCGCCTGGCCTTCCACCCCCTGCGGCTGTTTACCATCAGGAGCCCCGTCGCACACTACTAGGTCTGCGGGGCAGCCCTCGAAGTGCTGGATGATCTCCTTGGCAGTGGACAGCTATGGAGAGAGGAAGGATGAGTGGCCCCAGGGCCTCCCACTGCTGCCCTCAAACCCCACCTGCCCGTGGCCTTGGCCCGCAGCCCCTGGGTCAGCCAAATTCTCAGACTTTGCCCGACTAAGACCCGGCTCCACCTCCAGGGACCCAGTGCCATCATTTTTTGCTGCCTCTCTGCGATGACGACCTGTTGGCTCCGTTTCTCTGCTGTTACTCTCTGTCTTTCTCGGTCTCTGTTTCTATCACTCTGTCGCTCTTCTACTTTCCATAGCTCCCAGGTGGGGGCCTTCACCCAGGATACACCCCAACTCTCTCAGCCATGCTCTCACCTGGGTGATATCTCCCTGGATCTGTAACACACCTGGTAGTGGAGCCATAGCCTGCAGGTCCACAGCCACCACGTGGCCAGATTCCTGGCCCCTGTGGACAACATGGCCCACGTCAGCCCAATTTCACTCCTGGGCCCCTGCCCTCCTGGACCTCCCATCGGGGACCCCCACACTTACCCAATCTTCTGGCTCAGCACCTGGCTCCAGCTGCCCGGGGCTGCACACAGGTCAACTGCCCGTGTCACACCTGGTCATACACAGCAAAAGTATACTGCTCAGCTGCACCTACTTCTCCAACCTGGGGACCCTGCAACATTCATCCTTCTCCTCTGGGGAGCACCCGCATCTCTCCACTTCCCAGGTGCCCAACTCCTCTCGGGTATTCTGCCCATCTGAGTCAGCCCACCTACCACAGGAAGCTCTTCAGACGCAGTCCACTTGTCTGCCTCCTGTGTCCACCCCCCACCAACTTCCCAGTGACTCATCTGCCATTTAGGGACCTTGGAAGAGCTGGAATTCTTCATCAAGTTGTAGCAGCTTGAAGGCGCTGCGGGCACGCCAGCCATTCTCCTTGGCCAGGCGGTAGTAGACATCCCGCTTGTCCTTCGATGTCCGTCCCATCTCACACACAGTTTGCCCAAGGACCTGCCGACAGTCAGCTGATGCCGCCCAGTATCAGTAACCAGCTGAATGGGCTACCAACTACCTCTGCAGGGTGGAGAGAATCACACAAAGCAAACTGGGCTCATCTGACCCATGTGATGGTTTACTCAGATGAGCCAACTGAAGCCCTGGCACTGACCCCACTGACTTTATAGGGCCCAAAGGACCCCTATCACTGAGCTCTCAGGCTCTATCGCTCATCACACAGACCCCGCTTCCTCTATCACTTACCTCTCAGTTTCCACCAAAGACATCACAAACCCAACACTTATCCCATTGATGACCCATCAGTGACCCTGTGCACTTCCCATCACTGTCAACCACACTCCACACATTAAACCCTGTAACTCCCACTATCAACCCTTCCCTGCCCACCTCATCCCTATTTACATCTCAGTGACGTCTCTCCAGTTGTCCCCATTGCCCCTAGATTCATATAGCCCTATTAGTTCCCAACTAATCCCTTTTCACCCCCATTATCCCAATACTACCTCACTGCACTTCCCACCCCCTTGATCTTTCTCTGTCCACCCCATTCCCCATTAATTCCTCAAATGATCAGGCCCCCAGTAATCCCTTTATTATTATTAATATATCCTTATCAGCCCCTGTTAATGCCTGGAGGATCATGTCCTATTAGCTCCCCATAAACACTCAGTTACTGATTTATCAGCCCCCATTAACTCAGCCCTCCAACTGACCCCTCACAGATCACTCCGCTACCCTGTAACCCCTTCAGTAACACACACTCCTGTTACTCCCTGATGATCACATATCAATTCCCCGTTCTCCCGTCACTGTTCACTGTGCCCTCCACTGATACATCACTGGATGATCACACCCCCAACAGCTTACTAGTACCCTCTCTTTGCTCACTCTGTCCCCATTAATTCCCAGATGGTCATGCCTCCATAGCCCACATTAACCCTTTGACTACAATGCCCATCAGCTTCTCATTATCTCTTCTTTCACCACTACCCCCACTAGTCCCTCCATCGACCTCCATCCTTCTCTATTATTCCCTTGATAGCCTTGCCACTATCCTTTCAATTACCATGCCCCATTATTCTCCATTAACCCACTGAGTGTTATAACTCCATCAATCCCTCGGGCTTCACACCTCCATCCACCTCCCATTATATTCTAGATGCCCACTCTCCCACCCCCTCAGCTAATCAATGAACATATCCCAACAGCCCCACATCAACTAAAACACTCTTATTAGCCCCCACTGATTACCCAGTAACACTCCACTTGACACCTGTTACTCTTCCACGGTCCACCCAACTTCCCATTAACAGCCCTCTGACCACACCCCCATCCCTCCTCATCAATACCTCAAAACCGTGGCTCCATCGGGATCACCAGATCCCTCTCAAGGAGGCTCCGTGGATATCCAGACAGCTGCGACCCCATACCTGCCCACCGAGCCCACCCCGAATACTGGTCCCCTTCTGCTGACAAACCTTGGGTCTGGAGCCCACCCAGTGCCAGCTGCCTGGACTATGAAGCTGCAGCGCCGAGGGCCGACCTCACTCCTTCCCTCGCCGGCGGAACAGTGCAGGCGTGCCTCACGGTCTCAGCCTGTATCCGCGTTCTCCGCGCTCCAGGGCCTACCTCAGCTTTCAGAATGGGGAGAAGCCGGAGGAAGGAGGGTTGTCCGCTAGCAGCCCGAGCCTCGGCCGGAGCGCAAACACATGAGAAGTCGCAGGGCTTCAGTTTGTGTTCGTGGTTGACCCGAATGCCTGTCACGCATGCCTAAGGGTTACTGCTGCACCGCAAGCTTGGCATCCCGGAACCCCGAAGCTCGGGCGAGGCCCAGACCTGATGTCAACGTACAACGTGTGTCCCGTCATTTTGTGTCGACGTATCCGGGTCATGAGACCTGCCGTTCCCAACATGCAACGGGCACGGCCGAAGCGACGAAACTCACGCTCTGCGTGGCTGAAACGTCGCGGCGCACAAGAAGGGCTTCTTTGTTCTTTTGTTTCAAGGCCATGACCGATTTACTCCCCCGCCCCTCCCTTCTCCGACCACGATGGTCGTTGAACCTGTGGACTACATTTCCCAAGATGCCAAAAGCACGAAGGCACCTATTCATTTTACTTGTGCCGTGAAGCGAAATTACCGCTGGTGGCGTAAACGTGAGAGTAAGGCGAGCGCCTCGATCAAGTGCGCGAGCGCGCGGATGCTTCTCTGCGCGACGCCGAATCCCGCTTCCGCTAATGGCTGGCGCTGCCGGAGTTTTACCGTCTCGGAATCTCAGTTTCCCCATCCGGAAAATGGGCATAATCAACAGTGCAGACTTCACAGCATTCTTGGGAGGATTAAATAGGTGTAGCTTAGCACACCATCTGGCTTTTTGTAATTCTGTTTTTTCTTCAAAGATTTTTAATTCCGACCCACACATGTAAAAGACTATACACCGCGACCCTAGTGGACAAACATAAATATAGTAATGGAAACATTTTTCATAGTGTTTACGGTGTGCTAGGCACTAAGTGCTCTCAGTGGTGTGCTGGTAAATGGTTAACAACTGACTTTTTTGGGGGGGGAGGGGAGTCTTGGTTTCTAACATTTCCCCTCCCCCCTCCCCTCTCTTCCCCCCTCCCCTCTCTTCACTCCTCCCCTCTCCTCTCTCCTCCCTTCCCCTCTCCTTTCCCCTCCCCTCTCCTTCCCACCAGGCTAGAGTGCACTGCAGGATCATAGCTCACTGCCGCCTCCAGCTTCTGAGCTCAAATAATCCTCCCTCCTCAGCCTCCCGAGTAGCTGGCGATTTCCACGGTTTACATGCTGTCATCTTTTCAGATTTCGGGTTATCTATATGGAGTCACTGAACAGGGAGTTCAAAAGAGATGCAGTGTACACCATTGTATACTCTTTCAACAATACAGATAAAATAGGAGTAAATGACCTCAAGAACATAGAAAATAGTGAAATGCAGTAAAATAATTAGGAAGTGATGAATTTTGAGTATTTATTACCATTAATGTCTAATTTATTTAATTGTAAGTTTATATCATTTTTAACAACAGCTGTTTAACCACCAGTCCGCAAAATTTTTGGAAGTTGAGCAAGCAGCTCCTTCAAACCTGTACAAGTTGGCTCCAGCACATCTTTTCCTTTGTTCATTCGTAATCCTGACAACATCCATATGAGTCTTAGCTGGGCAAGGTGGTGCATGCCTGTTATCTCAGCTACTCCAGAGGCTGAGGCAGGAGGATCGCTTGAGCCCAAGAGTTCAAACCCAGCCTGGGCAACATGGAGAGATCCATTTCTTAAAAAAATCCATATGAGGTGGTTACTGTAATTATCCCCAGTTTACAGCTGAGGGAATTGAGACAAGGAGGATATATATTATTATATTAAATGTGTAAACATGGCAGACTGCAGTGACTCACTGTAATCCCAACATTTTGGGAGGCCAAGGTGGGAGGACCGCTTAAGGCCATGAGTTCAAGACCAGCCTGGGCAACATTGTGAGACCCTGTCTCTACAAAATATAAAAAAATTAGCCAGATGTGGTGGCATCCACCTGTAGTCCAGCTACTCCTATGGCTGAGGCAGGAGGATCACCTGAGCCCTGGCATTCGAGGTTGCAGTGAGCTGTGATCGTGCCACTGCACTCCAGCCTGGGTGACAGAGACCCTGTCTCTAAGAAAAAAAAACTATATAAACATATATGCCATTTAACAATATATAGAAATAGTGATGTATATTTACTAGTACATAAATTACATAGTAAACACATGTAATAAATAGAAATATGCCATTATATATTAATATAATGGTATGTATTTTATGCATTTTGTATAGTGTATGTATAAAAATCTCTGTATCTTATACATATGACATATAATGTTTATGTTAATAGAAATACTCTATTATCTCTATACATTTACTTACTAAGTGTGTTAAGCATATACTATTAAATACATAAATATGTGACATGTCAGGTGGTGATAAAAGCTATGAAGAAAGGTATGGAGAATAACAAAGTCAGGGGAGCCTTCTCTGAGGAGGTGACATTTGAGCTTAGACCTGAAGGGGAGCACACCCTAGGAGCATTTGGAGGAAGAGCATTCCAGGCAGAGGGGACCCTGAAGTGGGAACCAGCTTGGTTGATATTCAAAGAATTGAATGATTGCTTCGTCATTCCTTAGCACGGGAGCTTCACCAGGCCGGGGTTCCTGTCCTATCATGTTCACTGCTGCCTCCTGGGGCCTAGAACAGGACTGGCATACAGCTGATGTTTAATAGGTGTTTGTTGCCTTTACCCTTTTGTTGCTTCGTTCCTTCATTCTTTCCTCCGTGGTGCGCCCTGCACTTTTGTGGAGCCCTGGGCGGAGGCGTAGACAGAGACACAGAGCCTCCTGAAGGAGTCCCTG